CGTAACACCAACATTCACAAACAATGAATTACAACCAAATTACAGCACAATGGAGGAAAAAAGAGCGAGATAAGTCTGCTCGATTGTTGTTCGCGAAAATGACTACAGCTGACTTAGTGTGGAAGTTAGCTCGCCTTAGAAGAATGCTAAGATGCAAGTTTATGGATTCTGAGAGAATGCAACTAGTACTAGCCTTGCGTCACTGTTATGATATTGTAGAAAAACAAAGTTTAAAATTAATTTGAGATAGCCCTGTGCTAATAGGCTTTTATAAACGACAGCTTTTCGTTGTGAATCTGCTTGATGTAGTTTGAAGCCACCATGTAGCCACCGTACTCCTACAGTAAGATGTTGCTACGAATAGTGCATATATCTTATTGCAATGTAACACAAGCTTGCCAAGTGTTCTCTTATGTATTATGTACCTTATTGAATGGTGGAGTCCAAAAAAACATCTTTGAAAAAAATGTCCACAAAATAAAGTCCAGCAAAGCCCCTAATTCTATCTCAAAAATAAATTTTCATGACTCTTGATTCCGGAATCATTCAGATGCATAAGATTATAACCGTTTTTGACTTTATATTGCTCGAAGGTAAAATCAAGATTTGATGTGGCAAAATGCAAATTTTACAACTCTTGATCATCATCAATTTCGTGAGATGCATTTAAATGCAAAAAAATACTAGCTAATGCGGGACGTTATGCAAGTTTTTTGCTTTTAATCTAGTTATAGAAACGCATGGATGGTTGGATCCATAATTAGTGAGCGCTGAAGAGTGCTTCTTCCAAAAGGTCTTCATGCCTAAAAATTTGCTTGGAAAGATTTTTCCATTTAAATTTCTACCTGTTTTAAAAAAATTTCTGTTTCATCCACTTTATTAGTAAGCACTACAGGTGGCATCCAGCTAGTTCTTGCTATATGATTCCGGATGAGTAGTTTCTGCTTATTGCGATTCTTCTCACTAATTACTCTAGGTGGGAAGGGACCATAAATATTCTACAATGTCAAAGGAGTGGAGAACTTGTTTTTCGACGTTTTAAAAACTTTCCTCATTGAATTTTGGTGAACAGAGTTGGGCAAACCACTATTTTGTTTAAGTCTCGAGATGCGCTAACCAAACTTGTTGCAATTAACTAACAAAAAGTCAACTAGAAAGAAGCACAATTGTGGAAATTGGACAAGTTTGAAATTAGTTCCTACTTGTAGACATAACACAAATATGTGAATGTGCGTATTCGTTGCTATGTGACACCCACAATTGACTTTTGCTTTCAGCTGTCTT